CCTCCTCCTCCTCCCTCTCTTTCTCCTCCTCCTCCTCCCTCTCTTTCTTCTCCTCCTCCTCCTCCTCCCTCTCTTTCTTCTCCTCCTCCTCCTCCCTCTCTTCCCTGCCTTTCTCCTCCTCCTCCTCCCTCTCTTTTTCTCCTCCTCCTCGTCTCTCCTTCTCCCAGGCAGTGCTATATCTTAACGTTCTCTTCCCAGTTACAGACCTTGTACTCTGCTATATTGGGACAGATCAAAGGAATTAAAATTAAGGTTGGCTGATGCTGAGCTTCCATGTGGCAATTTGGTATTGCGTGCTTGCAGTTAACCTGAAGTGGCCGAGTGTTTCTGGACTCTGGATCATGTAGGAGAAGCTCATGGTCTTCACTGGTCCATCATTGCCTTTTTCAGTACCGAGATATCCTAGTTACCTAAGCAGGGGGCTCCTTAAGCAGCTCATCAGTGTAGAAATTTTGCAAAATCCCATTTTAAAGCTTTAAAGGTATTTTAAAGCAGACCTCGTATATGTACCTGCTGCTTGCGCTGCTCACAGGAGGCTTTGAGGCTGAGGATGCACCCGTGCATGTCCAGATCCACTCAGGCTGTCTCGCCCTTCTGCTTACGGGCTCCTCTTTGTTCCCCTGCTAGGATTTCCGTGAGAAAAACACGGATCACATGCGGCCAGACATCGTCGCTCTGCTGAGGAGCAGCAAGAACGCCTTCATCTGCGGCATGATAGGCATCGACCCGGTGGCCGTTTTCCGCTGGGCAGTCCTCAGGGCGTTTTTCAGGGCGATGGTGGCGTTCAGGGAGGCTGGAAAACGCCACGTCGAGAAGAAAACTGGTAAGTTGTGCCCGTCTCCTAATCTTGATGCAGGTTTTTCCACTAGCGCGTGTCGATCTAACGTATCACTGAGGTATTTCAAAATAGCTGGTTGGACTTATTGATGTGCCCCTGTTCCTAAGCATCTATTAAAAAGGAGAAAAATCAATTAAAGCATTTATAGATTTCCGATACCCCAAAGCACAGTGTGATGCAGTTACGTTTCCAGCTACACAGTAGATTTCAATGTGCTGGACCAAATGATTTTCACTTTTCTGCTGCTTTAACATTTTTGTCGTATTGAAAAATTCTTGTGCGACGTAAATAGAAGCATAAAAAGCTCCCAGCAAAAAAAAAAAAGGTGAATTATTTTTAACTAAGAATTCCTGCTCGGCTAGTGTAGCATCTGGAAAAAGCACAGAATCATTCTTCTCTATAAGCTCCCAAGCTGTTGAGCCTCTTAGCTGAAACCGTTTGTGTAATTTATTGCCACGCAGTCATCTAGAACCAGCTCTCCCTCCCCACGCCGAGCGCGGGGGCCTTAAATCCAAGGAAAGGAGCGGTGCATCATCATGCTGTGGCAGGCAATGCTGGCTGCGCTCTTAGACCATTTCTCTGCATCAAGCAGTTTGGGGGCAGACAGGTACAAGCTCTTGCTAGCAATTCCCAGGCACAAGAGGGCCTGAAATTCCCACTGAAATGAGAGCAGTTGGCGATGTTAGAAAGTTTATAAATCCCTTTATAATTGGAAATGTCGAGAGCAGAACCTGAGACCTGGGGACCTGAGAGCCCCTGGGGTCTCTGCAAGAGCCTCCTGCCCTGCTGGTTTCAAGCCCTGCTTTGCCTCGGTGGCCGCTTCCTCCGCCTCGAGCTGCTCTCGCCCGCTCGCCTATAGACCCATGTATAGATCAGAAAGGGAACCCGGGAGGTTTTGCTTGCTTCTCTTCCCACGCCAGAACAAATTACACAGAAATGGCTTTTTTTGAACATTTCCCGGCTTCCTGTAGCTCCTATATTGACGTGAAGCATCTCTATAGGGCAAACATCCCTTGTTTTCCCTACAAGCTATAGCTGAGCAGGAGCAGCTGTGCTTTGGCACCTATAGGAAGTTTCCTGCATCTTTGTGAGTGACAAAATTCCCCTGTTTGGTGGTTATTTTATTTTATTTTATTTTATTTTATTTTATTTTATTTTATTTTATTTTATTTTATTTTATTTTATTTTATTTTATTTTATTTTATTCTCCTTCCTTTCCTTCCTTTCTTTTCTTTTTTTTGCACTGGCTCTGCCTATAAAACAGGAGACGAGCCCTAAGCAGCAAATAGGTTCATTTGGCCACTGCAGCCTTGTGTAAATCAAGACAGTTGTGCACCTGGTCTCTAAAACAGGTCATAAAAACCACAAAATTGCTCATTTGGACAGTTGCATCCATGGCAGAAGGTATTTGGGCATTAGGAAGCAATCCCTTGGACATAGAATTAACCCGTTTTGGCATTGGTTCTGGAAAAAAAGCAGACAACAGAAGGCAGCATATGCATTTTATTTTATTTTATTTTATTTTATTTTATTTTATTTTATTTTATTTTATTTTATTTTATTTTATTTTATTTTATTTTATTTTATTTTATTCTATTCTATTCTATTCTATAATCAAACCTTGCTGGCTCTAACCAGCCTGATTTGAAAGCCTCAACGCCCATGGACCTGTAACCAGTGACCAAATCACCAGCGATGATCTAGGAGCAGCCTCCTGCACATGCATTTACGCCCTGCATCCTTCCTTGCAAGCGTGCCTGTGTGCATTTCATATCTTCCAAAAAGGCATGCTTTCCTCATTCCTGTCTGCCAACAGACAGGTGTAAGTAAAAAAGGGAAAAAATGTCCAAAATGTGCTCTAAAATATGCATATATACAATAAAAAATAGTATCTGTTTGCATTCTTTTGCATTAGACCCAGGTTATACACACTGCTTGTAGCTGTCTGCGGGCCATTGGGGTCCCGCTTGCCTTGCCAAGCTGAGCCTTTCCTGCGAAATCTCTAGCCTGGGTCTATCAAGCGCTGCAAAAAATTATGTTTTTCCCTTTTGCCCCCTCCCCGTGCCACTTTGAGCAGCCTCCTTGGCTACGCCAGCAGTGCCCACCAGTGCTACGAGCTGCTCCGTGCTCTCCGGGGCTTCTCCCTGCTTGTGGCGCTGGCTTGTCCCCCTGCCGTGCCAGGGGGACGGAGAACCAAAGGAACATTCTCAAGGCTTTTGGGACACAGATTTGCCCCGCGGGCATCCCTGCTGTGTTGTCAGGCTGCAGTTCTAACAATTCTCCCAAATAATTTTGGGGTCATTTTGCAAAGACCCTAACGCTGCTGAAGGGGTTGCGTTCAAATACACCCATTACCTTGGGGCTATTAAGGAATATATATATATATATATATATATATATATATATATATATATATAAAAAAAACCCTAAGGAATTACATATAGAGAGATATAAAAAGAGCCACAGTGTTTGTCAAATAAAAGTGGTGACAGAAACCGACCCTGCATTGAGCAATGCAAGGTGATACTGGTGGCAAGAAGCTGCTGCTTGACAGTGTTCCTCTGTGAAGTTCACCTGGGTCCTTGCTGCTGTTGAAGGCGGTGGGGTGAAATGCTTTGATTTAGGCTGACTTAAGGTAGCGCCTCAGTGACCTCATCATGCCTTGGCCGGAGCACGATCAAAATCGGCTTTTTTTTGGTTTTCCTCGAGCATTTTGGTGATGACGGAGATGTGGCCCCTGGGCCATGTCCCACCTTGGCAAGGTGACTTCTCCGCCTGCTCCTTCCAGCTGTGCCCTCTCCCACCCCAGCACAATCCTGCCCCGATCTGCTCTCCTTGTTGTCTCAAGGAATGCTGGCCCTTTGCTAATATTTCTGATTTTAATGGTCAGACCTCTACCAGATGTAGTACTGGGTTTGGAGGTGGCCATGCTGGGTGAGCATCCACGCAGGACCCCGTGGCTAACGACTGGCAGGAGCAAGGAAAAGAGTTAACAAAAGCCCAAATTGGTGCAATTTCAATGTGTCCTCATTGGGTTTTGTTCAAACAATCTTGGAGCAATTATAGAGTTGTTGTGCTCTGGCTGGGAAGTACCCTAAGGATTAGCAGAGCTGGTGGCTCCTGCTGCTCCTGGGACATGTCCACCCTGGCACAAAGCAGATGGGCTCCCCTGGGGCCGAGCACCAAGACACCCTCAGCAATTCCCGTGCCCTGGTGCCTTGTCATGAGGTGACTGACGCGAGCGCAGGTCGAGGCCCCACGTGGCGGCCTCCTCGCACCGTCGCTCCTGCCTCTCTCCCCATGTCTGCTCACGTAATCTTTCTCTTATTTTCTCTTATTTTGCTTCCCAAGGGCATGATGATGCAGTGCCGTGTGCGGTTTTGAAAAGTGTGGATAGTTTTAGCTTTCTCCATCACCCAGTGCATCAGAGGAGCTTAGAGATCCTGCAGAGATGCAAGGAGGAGAAGTACAGTAAGGCTCCATATCCCGCCGTCCTCTCCGATCCCACGCTCACATCAGGAAATGGAAACCAGGTGCATTCTGGCTAATGAGGGTGAAAATGCCCAAGAAAACCCTTCCCGGGACAGCCTGCTGCCCTGCAAAGCAGGCTGTCCACTGCGAGGGCTCGAGCCCCTTGCCCGTTGGAAATGGGGCCGAGCTTTAGGAGCAAAATCAAGCCCAAACCCATGGCAGCTCTGGCGCCAGCTCGCTTGGCTAGTCCTTTCCTTGCTGACTTGCCAGAGGAAATCAGAAGATCGCCAGGATATTGTGGCAAGGGCTCTTGTTTCATTTGTCACACACAAAGCGATGCAGAGCCATGGGGCATATCCCGGGCTGCAGGTACGAGGCTGGTAGAGCTGAGCTTGACCTCCAGCTTGCAGCCAGCTCTCAGCCTTTCTATTTTTAATTACCCCGTCATTAATTTCAAGAGACTTTGCAAAAAGCAGCAGCTTGAGAATACACCGACTTGGTTCCCAGGGGCTTTTACCTAACCAAAAGCCTTTGGCAACTTCCTTTTTACGCAGTGCCCGGGCACAGATGCACTTGGTCTCCGTTTCTCCCCCTCCTTCCCCTCCTACGTAACGGACTGGTTCTGCATGAGGCCACGGCCGCTCCTGCCTGCGCTGCTAACTGCTCCGCGCGGGCTCTCGCGGGACGAGGCGGGTGTCCGGCCGCGCGGTGCCCGGCCCGCCGAGCCGCTGCCCGCCGCCGGCCCGCCCGGCTAGCAGGCAGCGCCGGCACAACACCAAGGCCAGCTTGGAAAAGGGAGTACGTGCATATTTGTGGATATCATATATACGTGCGTGTGTAATGTTTATAAAAGCACACGGGACTTGCATTTCTTCGCCCCGTGAGCCTGGGTCTGCTGTTTAGCTGCTGCCCAAATGCAGCGCTGCTGCTCCCTTAGGGCAGCCTTGCAGCCTCCAAGCCCTGCAGTTCGTGCCCGAATGCAAATGCCCACGTTGGCTGCTCCAGGGACGAGCCCGGTAAGTGCGGCCCTTGCACGGGAACGCAGCGCAAATGTGCCTTTTCTGACCCAAACACTGCGGGAGGAGGGCATGTTGCCAGATTCCTATTTTAGCTCTCCATTTTCGTTTCCTCTGCTAAAAAGTTGATGATTATCAATACAGTGATTTCAGTTGCAGCTGTGGACTTGCTGCAGTAGGAGAGATTTGAGGCTTTTCCGTTTGAAGTTTTAGTTTAACATAAGGCAGGGAAGTCGTACGTGAACGTATTGCTGCTTATGTGTTTTTGGATCCTGGCTCTGCAGGGTGGTTCTGGCTTGCTGAAGCTGCTCTGGCTGCGGAAAGGGGGATGTATTTTGGAGATCACAACAGTTTCATTTCCACAGCGCAGACCAGAACAGCCTCTCAGCCTGAGCAGCCAGTGGTTCCTACTCATGCCACTGTTTTCTTCGCTTCCAGAGTGTCAATTCATGCAACCTACTAATCTATATTCTGTATTCAGGATCCTTAAAGCCACGTGCAAGTCATCCAATTAAATCTAAAGCGTTCTTGCCTTTCAATTCCAGGGAAAAAATAAAAGTCTTTTCCCAAAGAATAAATACATCAGATTACATCCGTGCATACAGAATACATCCATATATCTGAAATCTTTTCCCAAGCAGTGCAAAATCCTGTTTTTGCTACAGCCTTGTCTTCCGAGATTCAGTCTGGCTCGTCTGGCTAGACGATGGTTTTGGCTTTTCCTTTGGGGGATTTCTTTGATGGGAAGGGCAGGGGTGAAGGTGAGCGAAGGAGGACAGAGTTTGTTCCAGAAAAGAGGACCTGGGGCAAAAAGAATCTTTGAAATAGCAGCGAAAGCCTTTTTTTCATGAGTATTATGGTCAAAAACGTTCTCGAGAAAATGTAATGCTTATTTTAAAGGAGCCTTCTGCATGTTAGTGGGAAAATATCCAGGCATATATATATTATATAAAAGTATATATATACAGCTAGACATTACACACTTGCTCACTGTAGTAAATAATTTTTAGCCAGAGCTATAAACAGTGATCTGTGCTACTGTGCAAATCTATTTGCAAAATACTGCAAGTGGCCATATTTTGAGCAGAATTTCGCTTTCCTGTACAGAATCCATATGATAGCTGTGTATATCTTCTGCTCCTTGAATGTGTTTCGAATCAGTGGCCAGATGAAGTGAAGATACCAGAGCGGAAAAGTCTGTACATCGGGGCAGCTCTTTGCGTTTGCCCTCTTTCTCTCTTCCAGTCTTTCTGTGGAAAAGCAAACATATATTTATATATATATTTATATATACAAATTCAATAAGAAAAAAGAAAAAAAAAAAGAGGAGGAAGACAGATAACTAAAACAGTGACTAAAATCCCTCTGCCTTTCATTAGCCTTGCCGATTTCAGTCTTGTGCTGAGCTCCGTTCAAGAGGTTTATTGTTGTGAATTCTTAATTACTCTCATTTCTCCTTTCTTCTCAAGCAAGCCTGAGAACAGATCTCTTTGCTTTACATCAAGGATTCCTGTACTCCAAAGAAGGACTTTTTGAGGGGGAAAGCAAGCCTTGAGTAAGGTCCCTCCAAAGAGGGGAACATTCCAGAGGCTTAACCTACATTAACACTTGGATTTAAAAGGAAGTTTTGAGCTCTAGGAATAGTTAAGTCCTTGAATAAATTGCCGGGCTTGCTTTTCCCGAATCCACGGGGATAGGGATTACCAAACCTCCGGAGCAGCAGTGGTTCAGTGGCTTTGATGCTGCCCTGCAGCAAAGGAAAGCGCTGGGTGACCTCCCCAACTTCCTTGGCGTTTCATTGCGGATCTTCTGTCCGCTGGCACGTGGGCATTTTGCAGATCTTCTCTCTGTTAACATGCTTTTGGGTCTCCTCTCCAAATTCAACGCCCTTTTCTTTTGCAAAGGGCTGAAGGAAAAGCCACCCTGCTTGGTGATATGGGACTAGCACAACCGGCTCAAATCTCTGCCCATATTCTTCTGCATTTGTCTTTAGGGGAGAGCTTTATTCCAGTTCTTGCCCCAGCAACAGGGCTATAAGAACTATGAAAGCAAGAAATGCGAGAAGGGAATATTTTTGTTTCTTCTTATCCTGTTACACACTATGGTCTAGACTGCCTTCATTTTGTAGGGTTCATTTTCCCCCCCTGGAATTTTACTCCACCGCAGAAATACCAGGAGAAGGTTCTGCAGTGTCTAGTGAACTCCGCAATGTTTCCTCTCTCACAGCAGAGATTTCAAGGCAGGTTTAAAATTGCTGGCTGTTTTCTTGTCACCCTCGAGCTTAGCAGGTCTTTAAACACGCACGTCTCTGTGACTTGAAAAGCATTTTGTTTTTCCAGCAAAAAATTGCCTTCTGTCTTCTTCTTAAGCACTTGGTTACAAAACATTTCCACCTCTGGAGAAGGTGACAGGGGAAGTATCTGCGTGTGCGTGGCCTCCAGAACTCTTGCATCTTGGCTTCCTTGGCCGTTCCTCGCGCGGGAGGTGCTTGGGCTGTGGGGAGGTGGGCGAGCTGCTATGTCGGTGCCCCCCGTTGACTGCCCCCCTTGGGTTTTGGCTCGTCGGCTCTGCCTGTCGCTAGCAAAAGGGCTGGTGACGGAGCCGGCAGCAACCGCAGCGCCCGTGTCTCTGTGGGCAGCACGTGCACGGCGAGTGCCTGCTCCTCCTCCTCGCCCTAAGCCAACTCCGAGCCCCAGGTGCCTTGAGTATCCCTCGAGGAAACGAGCCAGGTGGAACTTGTTTTGTTTTTCTGATGTGCTGCTTTAGGTATCGCTCGGAAGAGCCCCCGGACCCCTCTCTCAGACCTTCAAGGAGTTAACACCATCAATGAGAAGAGCCAGCGGTAAGTCTGCCTCTTCTACCCTGGCAAGGAGGTCTCAGATGGGAGAACCCCCCTGTGTCATTACGAGTCACCATAGCAATGTTTCCTCCAGCTTGTTTTGGTTTTATTTATTTTTTTTTTCCTTCTAAATTTTGTCATCTTCTCATTCTGTCCCTCTCACGTGGTCATATCTAAATGTCTCTCTACCTGACTTACCAGCAGACATGGAACCCAACTTTCCTCTGTCACAAGGCAGTGATTGTAAGTGGTGGTCATGGCCAAGGTGGTAAGAAGCATGCGAAAAAAAAAAGAAATAATAATGAATGTGCCAATATCTAGGAAATAAGAATTTGTAGTGGCTTTTTTTCAAGACCAAAGATAAAGCTGATGTGTTTGGGTGCCTGCAAGCGAACTGATGCCTCTGGGCTCCGCTTTGCGTGGAGGACTCAGAAAGTTGTGAGGCTCGAAAGGGTGAATTTTGGAATGTTTGCTTGTTGTGCTGATGTGTTAAGGCAAAATCAAGGGGAACCTGGTGACCAGCATGAAGGTAATTCTGATGATTGGCAAGTTCCTTAATGTGCAGAAGCTCTTCTACCTCCCTGTCGTATTACAGCATTTGAATTTGGTTGTTTTCACAGCTTATAAGATTATTGTTTTAATCCTTCCTTGGAAATCCTTGGCCATTCATGCAGTGACTGAATGAAGTCTTTTGCTTGCAAGTCAGCTCCGTGCTCCAAGAGGCCCCTGCAGATCCATGTCCCTTCTGCAAAATATTCCCCAAATTCAATTCAGAATTAGACTTTTTCTGACGGAGCTTCTCCATCCCAAAGGGAAAACCTGGGCTCTAATCCTTCAATCATTGAAATTCCTTTTTTTTTTTTTTTTTTTTTTTGACATTTGTTTTGGCAAACAAATTCCCTTAAATGTGCAGGAGATCAAGGGTAGCAGCTATTGTTGTTTCCTTCCTTCGTCCTCAGCAGCTGCATCCTAACAACTCTTTCTTCTCAGAGTCAGGACAGTTATTCCTCAGACAGGGCTGACACGTTGGCAGTGATTGACGGGGAACATATTTATGGAGGCCACGACAGGGTTTCTGCTGGCGTGCTCCTCAGCAGAACGCTTCATAATGTATATATGTTTCCCATATATGCAGTGAGTGGCTGGTCCCCAGATCTCTCTCTGAGCCCCAGGGGTGCAATCCAGAGTGGGATCTCTCATCAAGATCTTTCTCATGCAGAAAGCACTTTGGGAACGGACCTGCAATTTAGCATTGCTCCCTGCAGATGACCTTGGTCTGAAGGTGTGTGGCTTCAGGAGAAGTAGGTCTAAGATGCAGTTACAGATTAGGAAGGGACAGTGATGGAGAGAAAGGTGGGATGTGTAAGAAGAGGGATTGCTTGAAAGCTAGTGCTGTTCAGGTATCCCTCTGTTCAGAGGTGTGCTGCTTGGTGGTGCAGTGGACCTCCAAGTGACCAAACGGGCCCTGTGAGTCCATCTTCACCTTAATGTGTCCATTAGGAATGGATAGAGGTCCCATTCTCTCTCCTGGACTCCGTTCTCATGGACTTTCCAGGGTCCTGAGGCAGCTACCATCACCTGGGGTTAGTTATGGGCTTGCGCTTTCTGAAAGTGGCTCCTGAGGTTTAGTGGTCCTGGCCAACCTGGGATTATTTTTTTTCCTCCCAGCAAGTAGGAAGCTTTTGACAGCTGGGACTTTTATTGTAAGGGCAAAGAAGGTGAAATGGTGAGTTATGAAACTGGATATTTAAAGATAGGTGCTGAACTGAATTAGATATTAAACTAGATTTTCAGTCTTAATTTTTTCTTTCAGTTCGGGCTTGGTGCTATTTCCTCTTTCTCTAGATAAGGACTTTAAGGTCTGCTTTATTGGGGGGGCCTCAGAAGACAGCGATGCTTGCCTGAGACCCATTTAAATGACCATGTCCTTCAGAACCCACCCAGGAGGCTACGATGCTGCTCTCCTCCATGTGCCGACCTCTTGCTTTGCCTTTTGCTTTTGCCTGAAATTCTTCTGGTCGCTTGGCAGACCCCATGTCCCGCTTGGATCTGCTCTTTCTGGAAAAGCCCCCAAGATGTTGCAGCCAGGGCAGAGGCTTTGCCTAAACCCCCAGCTTGGAGGGCTGCTCCACAAGTATCCACAGACCCAAATTATCTGTCAGAGAGAACGGGATGTTTTTATTCTGCTGCTGATAGGTAGATGTTTTTGTGCATATCTGATTTTGAAAACATGATTAACGAGCTGATTGCTTTCCGTGTTGTGTCTGACATAGTGAACTTGTCATGTGGGAGTGAATGACTAGTGAAGAGAATAAACCCATGATCATCATTTGCCATTGAATTATTTTCTAATCTGCCAGTTTCGAAGCTTTGGGTGATTCTTAAATGCTCTCTGCGCTTTATTTTGGCAAAGAAATGATATTTTTTGCACTTCCTCCTGGAAGAGCGTGTTGTGACTGCCCTGCTTTGCGTTTCAGCGATGTCTATGGCGTGGGCTGGAACGGCAGGATGGGCATTCGGCACAGCAGGCTCTCCAGCCCGAGCTCCTTCCTCGACAAAGACGGGATATTCGTTAATTCCACCAGCAGCAAGCTGCTGGAGCGGGCCCACGGCATCCTCATGTGAGTGTGGAAGGGCTCGACTCGGGCTTTATTCTACGTTAGAGTACAATAAACGGCATGGGTATTAATAGGGGTACAAATAGCTGGAATAAATGAATATGTTTCTAGCTAAAAAAGAAAAATCAGAGCTCCAGGTGGACAGGGATATTGCAAGGTTGGGTCAAAGCAACCTTGGTAGGTCCTGAGTGTCTGATTTATTCCATCTCTTATCATTCACTTGCAGTGACAGGTCCAGGGGAGGGAGGAAGGGAAGGAATCTGCTGGTCCAACCAGTCTCCAGATATGACAGTGATGTTTCGCAGTAACATTTTTTTAACGTGACATTGAAGTTTCCATTGCAAAATGAATGTGGAAGTGACCTCAGTGAGTCATGCTGCAGCCCCCTCCAAAGCTGCGGGAAGCCTTGCCGGAGCGCTCCCAGTTAACGCGTGCCGCTCGAGAACAGGGCAGAGTTGCTTCCACACTTACCCCATCCCTGCCGGTGTAACCACCCGTTTTAATGGGATACCTTCCTTTTAAACACGTGCAGCTCAAATGCAGCTCTGCTTTGCAGAAGGCAGTGGGAATTGCTGCAGAACAGAGCGTAGTCTATAGACCATGTTAAGCAGCTGCCTATGGTGATTTTTGAAGGGGTTGTTTCATGAATTCCTGTTGAGTCCATTTTTCTGGACCTTGTCCTTTGACTTGGGTATTTCTGGGGCTAACGCAAAAGAGACTGATTTCTTAATGGCCTAAGTTGAGCTGTCCTATCATGCAGTTGTCCGCAAACATGAATTCCCGTGTGCGATCGTGTGCTTGGATTATAACAGGCTGTTTCTTATCTCTCCAGGCGCAATAAGAACTTCAAAGCCAAACCAAATCTCCCAAAGGTGAGAGAAAAGCAGCATTTTAACCTCTTCTGCTACTGGGTTAAATCCGTAGGTACAACATTGAAATGCTGATGTGCCTGGAAGGAAAATTGCTTGTTTCTAGTGCAAGACCTCTGGCAAATTAGCTCCATTTGGGGCTCTTTCTTTTGCAAAAAACAAAGGATTGCAAAGTGTGGTAGCAGTGATTTGCCCTGGGAAAAGGCAGCATGAGCACTTGCATCCTCCTCTCTCTGTTGAACTTTGCCAATTAAGTCTCCAAGCTGAAATAAGTGAGCAGGTTATGTGAAATGACTGGTATTTGACAGATGGACAGTGATTTTCAGGGTGTTTACCTGGAAACTTTGGAATACCCTTCCATCTTGGCCACGTTTATTATTCTCCAAGACACAAGATGCAGAGAGATCTGTGCATAATGGGAAGGATGATGTTTCCTGCGGCCAGTGTTGATACTGCTTTGGCAGCTGGCGATAACTTTACTTGCTTAAAACTGACCAATATACTATAAATGTGTGAAAGAAATGATGCTTTCTTGCTGTGTAGATCTGTTCCTTCCTGCTGGGAAGAGCTGCTCTGTGCTCTGGCCCTTTCCCTGATCTTCACTAGGAAGATGTATGCACCAAAACCCCATTTCTTGCCCAAAATGAAATGATCTTTAAAAAAAGACAGCGGCGGGGTGAGCTGCAGGTCAGACAGGCAGCTCAGGCAGGCTTTCTAGCTTCTGTACATGTGTTTTCCAAGTGAACCAAATGCTCCCTTGAAGCATCTCATCAAACAGATGCTCACTCTTCCCAAATCAAAGCCGAGATCCTTGGGTTCTGCTGGCGAGCACGTGTTTTCCATCTACCACTTCCTATCCGCGTGAGCGCAGCCCCGGGGCCCGCTGCTTGTGTCTGATAGCTCATTTTTTTCATGTGTGTCATGATTTATTTGCTGTGGTTGAAGTCGGAGGTGGTTGGTACCATTTCATCAACATAATTGAGAACAGGGCATCTCCTCCGTGGTGCTCGTGTTGGCACGAGCTGCCCATTTGTGGGCTCCAAGTGCTGCGAAGCCATGGGAAGCTGGAGGGAAATGTGATCCAGTGGATTTGCTCTGACCAAAATAGATTACAGTTAACTCATTGTTCCTTAACGCTTGCCATTGAAATAGTGGTGACCCTAAGGAAGCCCTGCAGAAGAGGCAGGATTTAAAGAGGAAGGGCAGCATGGCAAGAAGGCCTTGTTGTTATGTTTGCAAAGACCAAAACAAGCTGTTCTGTTCCGCAGCACATGCTGGACGTGAAGTCCCTCAAGCACCTGACGAACCTGACGCTGCACGACCGCATTACGAAATCTCTGCTGCACCTCCACAAGAAGAAGAAGCCGCCCAGCATCAGCGCCCAGTTCCAGGTAACCGCGTGTCAGGGTCGTTCTCGGCTGTTAGAACCAAGAGAATTTAGCAGTTTAAAAGCACATTTGCTGTTCCTTGCTGTGACACGAGGGCGTGGAGAAGAGCGCCTGCAGGCGCTGTGCTCTGCTGTCTTCAGCACCATGTAAGAGCTGCATCTGGCTGAGGATGCAGCCTGGACCAGCTACGCAGATCTATGATAATGCAGAAACCTCCAGCTATCCGAGGGATGTAAAACAGAGGAACAACCCTTAGTGGATGTCATGAGTAGGGACAAGATGTCCCAAAACAGGGGATGGGAGGAGCTGAAGAATGCTAACATTTCCAACTGGAGATGGTCTTGTAACCACAGTGGTGGGGAAAAAAGCAATTAACTCAGTTATCAGTCAGGGTGGGTCAAGCAGCAGGCAAAATACTGGGTGGGACTTGGCAGAGGGAGAGATTGATTCTGTTCTCTGCCCTGTGTGTGACTTTTTCTTTTAAATGCCTTCGACATGTGACATATCTAATCAGGCATAGTTATTTATACAGCAAATACCTCTCTGCATGTGCATGTATGCCCTGTGCTTCGGTACCTCAGAGCAACCATATCGAGGCATTTTCTCTGCAGGGTCCATAAAGAGTCAAATCTGGAAATGCTGGCATTTTGAAGTGTGCTTAGCTGCATTCCGTGTCAGAAATTCAGACCGGTTTTGTTCTCGGTTAGTCTCTGCATTTTAAACGGTGCTGGAAGGTCACAGTCTTGCTGCATCCTCTCAAGGCACACACAGGGATCCCGCAAAGGGCTCGATACTGGTGTCCGCTCCCTTGTCACACCTCTGCGCTGCTACCCGTCCCTGCAAGGAGCTGCAGCTCTAATAATTCTCCAAAATGTGCATCAGGGCTTGGAAATTGCCACAAGGCTTGCAGTGCCTGGCATGCATGAGCAGGTGGTGACATAGGAAAGCTGCATACGAGCTAAAGCGAGTTTCAGAGCAAGTCTGTTGTATTCCTTGCTTTGTTTTTGGGGAGAAATGATTCATTTTTAGGAAGTCTTCATGCATATATCTGGGTAAGAGTAAGTAATTAAATGTATACACATGCACACGTGTGTGTATGTGTATATATAATTTGCAGCATGTGCATCTGTGTATATATTGAGCTCAGTCTAGTCTGGATGGTATGCTGGTTAAAATATAACCTCAGCAGAGTGTCAATTAATCCAGTGGAGTGCTTGAAATGTAAAAAGTCTCGGAGTGAAATGCATTCCTGAAACCTGCTCATCCTGCAAGTGAGAGTCTAAAAAGCGTCCCTGCGCATGGTCCACATTCCTATATATCTCACAGGCTACAAAAATAAGCAGCAAAATAAATCTCTGGGCATTTTAAGGATTTCCTTGCCTACCCCCTTGCAGCAAAGCGGCTCGTTCGGAGGCCAAGTTGGTGCCTTGTGGCTTCCCAAGCAACGGCTGGGCCCCCGGGAGCGGTGCCTGGTGGCATCCGCGCCACGTCCTCGGCTGGATCAGCAGCGCCGGAGTCGGGGCGGCCGCGTGCCGGCTCCCTGTGCTGCCGGACTGCCCTCGTTTCATTTAACGCTCACATGGGAGAGGCGTTTCCTCGGGAGAGCAGCCGGGTGCGAGCTTTGTATTGAGAGCACGCTCCTAAAATCGCGGCACGTGGAATTGGGTCGCAGGCAGGAAACGCGGCCATTGCCTCTTGGGCATTTTTTTTTTTGCTGATAAATATCATGCATTTTGCTCGTGCCTGAGCCAGGAGCCTCCAGCTGTTCTGCCTCGCGTCGATTTTTAATATTCCCAAGATTATTGCAGCCTATGGGTGAAATATCTCCGAAAGCAGGATGTGTGCAGGCAGTTGGCTGGTGGAGGCAAGACTAAAAGTGAGAATGCTGCAGGCATTAGTGCTTAGAGTCGTGGCCACCTTTATTAGGGGATGTTTTTAGAGCCATGACGGTTTCCTCGGCTGCAAATTACCCTGCCGGGGGCCAAACCGAAGCACGGAGATTGGTGTCCTGCAGGTGACGTTCGGACGGGAAGGAACCTGGGATAATGTGGACGTGCTGAATCTCCTGCTGCAAGGATGAGTACAAGCGGTGGAAGAGCCTGTCGCTGTGAAGCTGTCCAGGCAGAGGGCGAAGAAGAGTTAATCCAGTGGCTTCACATGTGCTTTACGGGTTCCTGGTGATAAGGCCCTAGCAGATGGTGTGTGTGTGTGTAGGAACCATCTGCCTGGCACAGAATATTGATAGTTGTTGGTAAGGGCAAGCCTTGCACCCGCATCCTCTCTTCCGTAGCCTCGCTTTGTGGGAGGCTCCCAAAATCCCGAATCCCCCCCATACCTGGAGCCATTCGGGAGCCTCGAGCATCCCACTGGCTGCAGGTTGGCGAAAGGACCATGTGGTTCCCCCCTTGTCCCCAGCTGTGCACCGCGAGGTTTAACCCCTGGTGTCCAGAAACATGAAAGGATTCCCACAAAGTTGTCTTCAAAGTGATCAGAAGACAAATCAAAGGCCTTCTGCATGCAGGATTTAGGATGGAGGGTTGCTTTTTCTTATTATGCTTATGCTTTGCCGTGTGGGAGGTGTGTGGGCTGGAGGCAGCCCTTGGGACGGCATCCTCCTGGAGCTGCTCTAAACAGAGATGACACCAATGCCTCTATACCCTACGTTTTAATAATTATGCAGAAATTAGGGGAAATATGGCTGCTGCTAAATGCATGGGATCATTTTGAAACAGGAAAATTCTTTGTATTTAAAGAACATCAATGACCATAGTATATTGCACAGGCGTTAGGTAGATGACTATCTTGGAGCTCCCACTCAAGTCTGTAAATGGATCATTGGTGTGAAACGGGAAATGACTTTTGGCTCCAGTGGATGGTGAGAAGAGTTTGGAGCCTGGGGTCTATCTCAGCGTTCAGTTAAGATGCATGACATACTGCTACGAGCTTCATTTTGGCAGGAGCCTTAGCCAAGCCAAGTCACATTTAGCTATTTTGTGAGGGGCAAAGCAATAACAGCTGAGTTGTGCAATGTCTGAAACACTCATTTTGGGGAGCAGGTTCCCATCTGCCTCTCTGTTCATCATTTCTTCCATTCGTTTCTGCAAACGGTGCCTGGATTCTCCTGCTCCTCCGTGCTCTTGTCTCGTTTCCCCGTTTAAGATGCGCTCTCTCTTGCAGGCGTCGCTCAACAAGCTGATGGAGACCCTTGGCCAGGCAGAGCCGTACTTTGTCAAGTGCATCCGCTCCAATGCCGAGAAGGTAAATGCCCACTCTGAAATGGTGCTGAGGGTTTAGAAATGGAAACCTTGCTGCATCCAGCAGCGGGGTCTAGCCAGCTCCACCGCTGTCGCTTCAGAAGCTCGAGTCTGTATATCCTGCAATTTTACCCAACGCACAGATCTTGAGCTCTCTTAGCACAGGCTAGTGAAGTTTTGGGGGTTTTGGAAAGCTCCTTCTGCAGCACAGCCCCAGGATCAGTGAGAAAATAACCAAGTGACCCATTGGAGCTGCTCTTGCCTTTCCTATGTCCTGCTTGAAAGCTGCAGGAAATCTTGGAAGGGTCTTGTAAATATGTACATTTTTACACCACATTAGGAAGAAAGGAAAGGCTGCAGCCCTGAATTGGATTTAAATGGTGCTTGTTCGAGCATGTACCATGTCATTGTTCTTGGTACCAGAATTGTTCTTGATAAAGTACATTGGCTTTTCCTGTAGTCATAGAAATAAGCATATGAAAGCACTTTAATAGACAAGGCAGTGAATCTATTTTTTTCGTTGCCAAGCCCTAAAATGCCTTAATTTAGGTAGAATGTTTCTTTTCTGCCTGCAAAAGCAGGTTCTTTCAGAATAAACCTCTTTATTCTGACTCAGTGATACTTAGTCATCCAATAATAAGACTTCTAAGCATGGAGCTGTCTCGGGGCCTAGGGACCCATAGTTTACAAAGAAAGTTGTTGTGACACTTCCTGATGGATAAATCTGTTGTAATTTTACCCAGACACTTCAAAAATAAAGATGAAGCTTTAGATCTCGTAGGTACTTGCTTGCTCACTCTCTTGTTGTGCAGTTTTATATCCAGCTCGGGTGCAGTTTTATATCTAGCTGGATTTGTTGGAAAGTCCTCTCCATCCGACAACTGCTCAGCAAAAATAAACCAGGATTCAGCTCTGGTGCTGGGGAAGCTGCGTTGCTTCCTGGCGTATGGATTTCACGCCAGATGTGTTGCACGTGCTGCGTTAATCGACCCTGTCCATGCGCTTGCAAGTGGTCAGAACAGAAGGAAATACTGGCTCATGGTGGGCCTGTTTTCTCCCTCTCAGCTCCCGCTGCGGTTCAGCGACAGCCTGGTGCTCAGGCAGCTGCGGTACACGGGAATGCTGGAGACCGTGCGGATTCGCCAGTCGGGATACAGCTGCAAATACACCTTCCAGGTTGGATAAAACGTTTTCGGTCTTTAGCCACCTTTATCATCAGTGTCACAGTCACCTGAGCAGCGTTAGCTTGCAAGCACATCTCGGTTTTTTTGACAAGGGGATAAATTTATCACTTGTCCAAGAGATATGGCCACAGCTGGGCACAGAGCAATTACGCCCCGTGCTGCTACACCTAATTTCCATCACGCTGCTCTAGACCTGGACAAGGGCTAGGAGCCCCTGTGCAGATAACATGACGTTATTTAAGTGTAGATATTTTTTTCACGTTTTCTTCCTTCTTTTTGCACGAAACTAATTTGGGAAAATCTTCCTGAAGGTGAGTGAGGAAGATGACAAGATCCCGTCTCTTCAACTTAAGCATCCTGTTGACCCCTGCGATACCTTGTCTTATGTTTTTGGCCCTCATTTATTTCATTTCCATGGGGATGATGCTTGTCCCGTTGTGTCAGTGCTGCCTGCACCTCTCTGGAAGTTGGTTGGGTCCTTCTAAAATTTCTCCTTTGGGACAAATACTATTTTTTGTATTCTAATCTTCCATGTTTTCCAATGGGTTCTGTGCATATGTCAGTTCATTCATGATTTGCTCTTCCCCGCTGCTGTCCTGCTGGCAGCTGCTTTTGGCCAGATGTCACGTCCTGCACAGCAGCTGGTCAGAAGGAAAGGATGCTCAATATTTTTTTTTTTTGCAGAGAGCAGAAATCCCATTTTTACCTGGGAGGATCTCCGCTCTTTGCCTTATCGCAGCAGTAATGGATGAAACGGTCTCTTGCCTGGCGTGCTTTGAGAAGCTGGTAACTCCCTTCTGTAGTGACCAGATCTGAGGGCTTTTTTAGTGTTTTTGCTCAGCATTACCTGGCTTTGGCAGGCTCCTTCCTCCCATGCTGGGAGGTGTTTGATCGTTTCCCTGTTTTGATAAGCTTTCCATGCAACCTCGAACCTCAAATGGCTCCAATGGAGGAAACTTCTTCCCTTCTTCTGCTTGCTTGACAAAGCCTGTTTCACGTGACTGGTGGAGCAACCCAGTTATTTACGTAAGAAATTGGCCCTGCAGTGCCGCTTAACCAAGCCATGGTGGTTTGTTTTTCTTTTTCCTGCAGGATTTTGTCAACCATTTCCATGTCCTCCTGCCACAAGGAATCAGCCCATCCAAACCCAATATCCAGGATTTCTTCTGGAAAATAAAACTCAATCCGGACAATTATCAAGTTGGAAGAACAATGGTAAATGCCTATCCTCAGTTCGTGTGTATGTCTAAGATAGTCCACTTCTGTACTGATGTATCAGCTTCCTCAGCTTGTTGTTACGACAGCTCTTGTCTTCCCAGGAGGCAAAGGTAGAGGCTGCAGTGATTTATGGACTGATGTTCAACATTGACAGTCCCAATTCATAGTTGCCAGGCTATAGATGAAATTCTGTTAACTTGCTGATTAAATTTGGCTGCTAAACTTTCCCCTGGGCCTTCAGGATGCAGCAACCTGAGGCGTTAAATGGCTCGCACCATGGTGCGAGAAGAATGTTGCTGGCTTTCCCAGAATGGTTGAGGTTGGAAGGGAGCTCTAGAGCTCATCCAGGCCAGCCTTCCGCCTAATCTGTTTTGCTTTTGGGGGCAGGTTTTCGTGAAGGAGCGGGAGCGGCAGCTCTTGCAGGACCTGCTTCACCAGGAGGTGCTCCGGAGGATCACGCTGCTGCAGCGCTGGTTCCGCAGCCTGCTCCACAGGCGCCAGTTCCTCGCCTTGCGCCACGCCGCCCTCGTCATACAGGTGCGTGGTGACGAGAGGTTATGCCGAGACCTCTCACCACAGTCCGTATCTCCCGGGGCTTCCAGCTTGGTCTGTAGCTGGAGCAACTGGGATTGAGCTCTCATAGAATCACAGAATCACAGAATGCTTAGCGTTGGAAGGGACCTCAGAGGTCATCTAGTCCAACCCCCCTGCTCACGCAGGGTCACCTAGAGCATGTGGCACAGGCTGTGTCCAAGCGGGTTTTAAAGATCTCCAAAGAAGGAGACTCCACAACCTCTCTGGGCAGCCCGTTCCAGGGCTCTGTCACCCTCACTGTCAAAAAGTGTTTTCTCAAGTTCCTGTGGAACTTTTGGTGCCTCAGTTTGTGGCCGTCTCCTCTAGTCCTGTCGTTGGCCACCACTGAAAAGAGGCCGGGCCCTMCTCCTCACTGCCTCCCTTGAGGTATTTATGGACACTGCTCAGGTCCCCCCTCAGCCTTCTCTTCTCCAGGCTGAACAGGCCCAGCTCCCTCAGCCTTTGCTCACAGGGCACATGTTCCTCTCCTCTCTGAGGAGCTCATCTCCCAGTGTGCCGATGGCCAGGCTTGGGAGGGACACAGTGGGGCGGGTTGCGGGCAGGCCGGCACCCCACGGTTTGTCGCCGCGGGCCCCTCGCTCACTGCCCTTGTGTTTGCAGCGTTCCTGGCGCGGCCGCGGGAGCCGCCAGCGAGGCGC